GGGGGGGGGTTTGTTTGTTTTGTGGGTTTTTTTTTTTTTTGCAGAGCAGGTAAAAGAATGTTTTTCTTTTCTTTTTTTTTTTAAAGTTTTGAGAGCTGTTACTTTACCTTTAGCCACACTATGAAGCCTATTGCAAAGGCTTTTCTTTCTCATGGAAAGCAAGAAAACCTTATTTACTTATTACAGAAGTATTTCTCTGAATGATCTAAGTAGTCTGACTCACAAAACTGCATACCTGTAAGATTGATCTTCTGATTACTTTTGTAGATATTTCCTTAATTTAAATTATTTATTTGAATGTGTGAAAATCATACGCTTGTATGTATGCAGTAGATACTTTCAGATTTTCTTAATAATGCAAGCAAATGAGTTGCCAGTACAAGGAGCTCTAAAATTCAAGTCTGAATTAATGTTTAATGCTAATAGAACTCACAAATTGCAATATGAACTCTCAGCAGAAATCATAAAACTCTCAAACTATTTTTTTTCACTCCCTTTCCCTTTATCAAGCACTTAGTAGGGAAAAAAAAACCAAAACCCACAACAAAACAAACCTTCATTCATTACAATAAATGCCCAACTCAGGCAGTTATAGACCAGACTCCAGGAGAAATTTTCAACTACCACTAAAGATTGTTTTTCTCAGCCATATCCTCTCTTTGCCCTCTAGGTATCTGTCTAGGTGGGACTTAAAGTCTGAATTTTACAGTTCTACATCAAACCCCAAAGTTGAGTGAGAGGTGCACTAGAACAAGGATGGAGGGCAGGCTCAGTTGAGGAGATGATTAACCTGTACTTGACATCACTGGGAAATGACTGTCAAAGTGAACAGGGTGGAGCAAATATAGAAGGTGGAATGGATGGAAATGAAGACTAAACTGGGACCAGAGCAGGAACTGTGGTGCTGGATTGGGAATAATGAGGATGTCTGGGATTCATGAGAGAGGTGAATGAGAAGCATTCAAAGAAGTATATCTCTATATGTGTTGATGAAGACAGGGATGCTTAGGGTGGGAAGATTATGGATCTCCAGGACCCAAAAGGCTTTAGGACTGGAAGGTTTGAGGGAATAGGAATTCTCAGCTGTTTGCAGAACAGCTATGTATAAGAATGTTAATGTTGCACGTTGTGGGTAACCGGACAGAAATAGTTAACAAAATGGATCCAGGTGTTATTGCCCTGGTGGGGCTTAAGCCTTGGGAACAACGAAGGGTAAAGATCAGTTAGCAAAACAAAGCAGGCAGTTTGCAAGATAAAGCAGGATGTGCAACTCAAAAACAGACCAAATGATGTAGATATTTGTAACCCTTAGTGGTTTTCTGAATCAGGATGACAAGGAAGTAAGAGAGTGGAAAATTACTGCTTAGCACTTAGTGGACTATGTAAAAGGGATGCCAGACACGCAATAAAGGTCTTCAGATTTCATCAGAACTGGAGTCTTTGGTAAGCCACAGCACTTCAGTCAAAGCCACAGCACTTAAGTCAACAAAAAGGAGGATAGTGCAAGACGCCTAAACACCTAGTGAATAGTCACCTCTTGTCACCTCACACAACTGCCCTCAAGTACCTGTTCTGTTAGCCTCTTGAATGGAATAGTATGCATAGCAACATAGGCTTTATAGATAGGCAGGTACTGTCATTTAGGCTGTTAAGCCATCTTCTATACTTGTAAAATACATCATGCTCAAGGCTGAATACTGTCCAGATTCTCTCACAATCTGAAATCCTGCAGACACACAGAAATTACCTTGGCCAAAATCAAAATTATCTCTAACCTAAATAATACAGATGTTTCAAATCTAGTGCCTATACCCTGCAAGTTAATATACTGATATAGCTGTAAACCATATAAGACTTGTATCTTTAATTTTAATCAAAAATCCATAGTCCATCAGGATATTTAATGTACTTATTTTAGATGTGAAGTCTCTTCTGGAAGCGTGGGCAAGGTCTTACGTCTAATATCCCTATCCCTTATTTGGTATTGTGTTATGAATCCTATTCTGGGTTCCACAAGCAAGCTTGTAGGTCAAAAGTGCATTAAAAATGTGCTGAAGTCTTAACTGGTCCTATACTACCTTCTGTCAACATTTAAGAAGCTGCTCAGGTCTTGACTTCTGTGGAAGTACTGAAAGAATAATCTCGAATAGCTCTTCTCTCTTTAAAGGTCTTTCCTAGTTGGCAAATGGCACCATAACCTGATGCACGGATTGACTCCACAACTCATTAAAGTTGTAATGTAGGTATGCTTTTTATTCAGCACTGAGAGACACGGGGATAATTCCTCAAAGGCATGCCTGCCTCAGTGTTGTTTCCCTCTACATTTATTCTCTAAAGTTATATATATTCATAAGGTTGCACAATACGCCTATACATATTCATGTCCTATCCCCGCTTTGTATTATAATGAGTTAGAAGGTCCTTTGCACCTGTGCAGTGCCCCCTCTGGTCATGGGCAGGGGTCTCAAGATGAAGTAACTGAGTCTTCCTCCTGTGGGTAGGGGTCTTCAAGGTGAAGTAAATGAGTCTTCCTCTTCTTGAACTTTTCACCTTTTAGTCTTCAGGTATGGCCTTAGGGTTTGGTCATTGTCCCAGCCATAAACCATCTGCTTCTCCCCCTTCAGGGGTCTGCTTTTCCTTATCAATAGCTGCTTATCAGTAGAATCAGGCCTCTGCTTTTCCTTGTCAATAGAACCAGGTGTCTGCTTTTCCTTATCAGTGGTTAGTGCCTTTGTTCTGCTTAGTAGGCATGATAGGTACAGACAATACTTTTGTTTAAGCAAGCAAATTCCTCTAACCCCCTTGTACACCCCCCTTGTACAACCCCCTGTACATTGGTTAACCCTGTATCAAACCCAAGAGAAATGTATGACAGACATGTTATTTCTGTGGGAATTATCAAGAGTTTTCAGAGTCAGAAGAGTTCTAAATATTATATATACAGCTTAATTTATTAGTAGAACTACTTCTATGCCAGAGAAGGAAAGCTACTTTTTTCTGCCTTCAGAAACAGCTTTCTGGATTTAGCATATATTTACTTTGAATGATAGAAAAGTTTTATATCTACTGGTACAGAACAGAATTTGATAAGAAAGAACAGCATTGTTAGGTGTGGCTTTATTTACATGCTTGTATTGTAGGTTCAACAGCTATTTGTTAGTGCAAGAGGCAAAGCTGGAAGAGCAGTGTGTGCAGTTTTGATGTCATTGATGTTTCATTTGCGCGCAGTTGCTTCAGCTGTTCCTTCTAATGGCCAGTTCATGCCGATAGTGAACCCAAGCAATTGGGGTCTTAAAAGACTTTAGAAAAACACACAAAGCATCAATACATACTGAATTTTTAATGTTACTGCAGTGTTTTAAAAGGTCTTCTTCTTATTTCCCTATACCTCCATGTCCAAATGCAGTCATATAGCATAGGGGTGGAAGCACTCACCATCTTATCCTGAGAACAGCAGCTCAGCAGTTGCCAAGTACAAGTTAGATAGAAGACAACTAAAGAAATTCTGTTCCACTTTTCCAGTACTACCAGTCTGTGCGAGATGTGCTTCTATGCCCAAGTCATGCTTTGGTAACTGTTCAGCACTGCCTTCCCTTTGTATTTGAGTTGTCCTCCACATCTTATCAGTGCTGTGTCACAAGTTCTGAGTCTTAAACTAGATGAAATGGCCAAAGCAGTGACATTGTGTTAACCTTTATCTAGTTAAGCACTGCCAGCTCCCTAACTGCTTGTCTAGTACTTCCTGAGAAAAAAACTGAATGCATGGCTCTCATAGTTTCTGAACCCTGTGTAGAGTACACAGTTCATTGAATCTAAGGGATGTTGGACTTGAATGTCTGCAAATGAAGATGGGTGCAAGGATAAGTTTTAAAGAGCCCCTGCATATGTCTGATACCATTCAAAATCCCTTTTTGAGGAGTATTATCCTCAAAATAATTGATGAACTTCCTATTGAAGAAGTTCGTCCCTGGATTTTTAAGCATGTCTTCTTTATTTCATTAGCTACTTACATTGCTAATAGACAATCCTGAGGACTTTTAATATACCAATAGAAGAAACCTACTTGGCAAAATCAGAGAAGATAAATCTAAGGGAAAGTTCTGTCCCGACTGTTTATCGTTACGAAGAAATCCCTTATAAAAAGTAAACTTTGCAGTGAAGCTCTTGGAAATCCTACTGAGAGGCTGGAAATTGTCTCCTAATGGAGCTTACAATAGAATAGATACTACAGGGATTTTATTTTCCAGTGATGAATAACAGATTAGGAATCCTAAACCACTAGTTGTACATTTTCTAACAGATGCAGTAAAAGAGATGCAGTTACCAGAAGGTCTTACGATTATGCTGTATATTCAATCTTTTATTAGCCTATAACACTCAGGACAGCATGTTAATTAATGCTTGGTCTCAAAGGGTCCTGGTTTAACCTAAAAACTTACAGAAAGCTGTTATATTTAGATGCATTGATAACGTCTGTAAAAAGAAAAAAAAAATCCCCAAAATACAAATGAACATTATCACATATTTTCTTAGAGATTTGTTGGCAAAGTTAGCTTTCATGCTAGTCAGCTGGGGTCTTGGGTTTCTGTATGAAAACAGTAGCTCATCTATGTCTTGAGGCTAATACTGAAAAGGTCATAAGATTCTCTTTCATGAAAGGAATGAAAGTAAGCTGAAAAGTACAGGAAAACGTAACATTCAGTATAAATGATAGAACTGATTTAGTTCTATGCATTTCTCTATGTATAGAAAATGACATTGGAATACATTTGTATTTAGATTTAGGGAGCAACTTTCTGCCTTTTCACCAGTTTATTATTTATTTCCAAACCTTATTATTTTAAAATGCTATAGCACCCAGAATATGCTAGACCATTTCTAAACACAATCACATAATGGATTTTTCCTATGATGAGAAAAGCAGCCATTTGAAGTTCATTCATTGAGACCCTTTGGCCTTTAGAGCATTTAGTGAAGGGTTTGTTTTGTTTATTTTACAGTTCAGTGGAATGGAAAACAATTTTTCTTAAGCATTACTGGAGGCCATCAAACAACGAGAAGGAATAATTTTTCTGCTGCTGCATGTTCAGCAGAATTTAAAGGTATCTATTAAAAAAAAACCAAACAAACCAAAAAACAGGTGTAATGATAAACCTAGATTTCCCCCCTTTTTTGAAAAAGTGTAATTACACTCATCAGACATAATCATCTGCTATTTTCCCCATCTTGCTATTGCTCAGAGTGTAATGAGAAAAGTTTGCTGGTGCTGGGTGGGCTTGATTATTCCCTGTTTCTTCTTGCTTATTTTCTACCAAAAAAGAAAATAGACCATCCCTGCCCCCCGGGAAAAAAAAAATAAAAAATAAAAGGAACCCACAACCAAATTAACTTGTTTACTTATTCATGGAGTGTGATTTGGATGTGCAGTTTATACATGGAAATAAAGTAATTGAAAACATACTTTTCTCAGCCTGTTGCCATAGAACTATTTAGATTCAGATTTTGATTACTTGGAGAGGCAATAGGAGGTCCTGTTTTCATTCCTTGGTTTGTGTTTTTCAAAAACTAATTTTCATAAGACATTGCAAATATTATTAAATGGAGGCAGGAAACAAATAAAACTGTTTGAACAATAACGAAGTAAACTGAGAAATCAAGTGATTGATTATACTGTCATTTAGTTCACGCAAGTTGAAAAACTGGAGCCTAAAGGCCTGTTAAAGTCAATAGTAAAAGTCTACCTGCATAGCAACCGGCAATTACAGCTTCTTAAGACAACACTTCATGGAAGTTATTCTGACTTTACAACCATGTAGCTACAAGCTGCATCTGAATCCAAATTTCATTAAAAATGACAGTCTTAGGAAGCAGCTTCTAGAGCTGAACTCCTGTCTCTCCCCAGTACATTCAAGGAAATAAATGAATTTGACCTTTAAGGAGGTTTGGGAAAGAACTCTGGAAAACATCAAAACTTGTTTTTGAGTTTGGCACACAGGCAGGGCAGTTCCATTGAATACTGGCAGGACTTGATATTCAGGTATCTCTTTTAGATACTTAAAATGTTAATGTCTGTCCCCATAGAATGACTCAGGCAAGGTGAGTTAGGATCTCAGACCCTTTTCCCACTAATAATACACAGGCATCAAAGAGAGGTATCTTGGCACTTATCCTGGAGGCTCAGACATGGTATGGTCATGACAAGCTGACCAGACTTCATTCTTCAGAAAGCAGTTACATTATTCTTCATTATACTAGTCACAAGAATACTTGGTATGGAGGTAAACCAGTGGATTGAAAACTGCTTCATCCTTTTCCCACAGGGGCATCCTAACCATGCTGATATTGAGTAACTATGTTGGGGCTGCCTGCTTTTTTTACCCCTCCCTAATGCCTTGCAGAACTGGAAAGCTTCAGAGACAGGCTTCCTCTTGTTTGCTGTCCTTCAGTCTCATGACTGTTGTTGCTGGCTAAAGTGTATGTCCAGCTCTCCAAGCACGTTTTAGAACAGAATGTAGTATTGCAATTGCAAGGGACCTACAACGATCATCTAGTCCAGCTGCCTGACCGCTTAAGGGCTGACCATAAGCTACAGCCATGTTATTAAGGGCACTGTCCAAATGCCTATAAATACCAGCAGGCTTGGGACATCTCTTAGATGCTTTTTTAGGAAGCCTGTTTGAGTGTTCCACCACCCTCTTGCTAAAGGAATGTTTCCTACTGTCAAGTCTGAAGCTATCCTGATGCAGCTTTGAATGACTCCCCATCCCTGGCAGTGTTTAAGACCAGGCTGGATGGGGCTTTGAGCAACCTGGTCTAGTGGAATGTATCCTTGTCCATAGTGGGGGGATCGGAACTAGATGATCTTAACATCATTCCCAACCCAAACCATCCTATAACTCCAATTCTCCCACAGTGGGTGGTTCTTAATTCTCCTAATCCCTTTGCCTTCCTCGACTTGGGCAATGTGGCTCTCTAACTCCTCAGACTCCCTGATGGTCTGCAGCCCTCTCACCACTTCATGTAGCTCAGCCATCTGCTACAGGAGGTCCTCCACATGGCACAGCCTTTGCAGGCCAGTCTGCTACCTGTCCCTGCCCGGGGAGAAAGGTCCCGCGGCCCGAGGTCTGCCCTGCAGCTCCTCCCTTCACAGCTCCTTCTGGGTGAGGCATCGGCCACCGCTGGAGTAGACAGCGGAGGCGCAGTGTTTGCTCCCCGATGAGCGCGCTCCATCCCGCCAGCAGGGCCCACACACCCCCCCGGCCTGCCGTCCGTGGGAGCGCGGGGTGCGGGGGGGACGACTGTTGCGCTCGGCCCCGCCTGCGCTGCTGCAGCTTCTCTCGCGAGTTCTGCCGGCTCCAGGGGGTGTCAGAGCTCCGCTGTGCGAGTATTCCCCCGACTGTGAAGTGTGGCTCAGCACGGCGCACGGTACTGACCTGGGGCCGCACCAACGCTGATTACACCGGGATAATTACCTCCTTAGACCAGCAGCCTATACTGTATTTGATGCAACCGGGATGCAGTCTGCTCTCCTGGCTGCCAGTGCTCATCACTGACCCGTACTGAGCCTGCAGCAACCAGCACCCTACATCTCTTTGCAGGGATGCTCTCCAGCCACTCCTCTCCCAGTTTATGTTGTGAATGGCATTGCTCCACCCCAGGTGCACAATCCATCATTCATTCTTGTTAAATTTCATCCCATTGCCCAGTGCTCCAATCTATCTAGATCCCTCCGTGAGGTATCTTGTGCCTCAAGAGAGTCAGCAGCACCTCCCCATTTGGTATCGTCAGCAAGTTTGCCAATGGTACATTCAACTCCTATATCCAGACCATTGCTAAAAGTATTGAACAGAACCAGCCCTAGAATTGAGCCCTGAAGGGCACTGCTGGTGTCTGATGACCAGCCAGATGTAGCTCCATTCACTACAACCCTTGGAGCTCTGGTGTTCAGCCAGTTCTTCACCAAGAACACCATGAACCCGCTTATGCCACAGCTGGGCAACATGTCCAGAAGGGTGCTGTGAGGGACAGTATCAAAAGCCTTATTACAATTCAGAAAAACTACATCCACCGCCTTCCCTTCATCCACAGGGCAGGTGATCTTCTCATGCAAAGATATCAAATTAGCAGTTTCCTTTTGTGAACCCTGATGACTGTGCCTGATGATTGCATTATTCTTTAAATGCCTTTCACTAGTAGCCAGTATAATCTTCTCAGTAATTTTTCCAGGAACTGAGGTTAGACTAACACATCTGTAGCTTCCTTTGTCTTCCTTAATGCCCTCCTTGTATATTGGAAGAACACTGGCTATGGACATGATCTTCTCCATAGTCTTTTTGCCAACTCTAAAATTCCCACTGAGTTTTACTGAGCTGGGTATTAGAAAGGATCTCTGTTTTGACCCAGCGTATATTCAAAACTCCTGGTCTGCTAACACATTTTGTATTTCTTGACACTCGTCAAAAGTCTGGGGTAATGTCAGTCTCAATTCTAGCACCTGAAAGACTCCCCTGACAAAGCCACTGTTTTCCAGAGCAATTTTCCAAACTTCCTTAAATGTCAAAGCCACTACAGTGTGACTGGTGATTTGCTATACGTTATTGTTTTTAAGATAAAGACAAATTTAATGGTTGCTACCATGGATATTGCATTTAGACAGCTGTCGTGGCTTAAGGGCAGTCAGTAACTCAGACCCACACAGCCTGCTCACTCGCTCCCCCCCTTCCTCCTCCCCCCGCTCCCGGAGGGAGGGGGAGAAGAATCAAAAGAATGTAACTTCCACAGGTTGAGATAAGAACAGTCCAGGAATTAAGGTATAACACAACTCACAACTGCTGCCACGGCTGCCACCAATGATAATAATGATAAGGGAAATGACAAGGGAAGAGAATACAACTGCTCACTACCCGCCAATACCCAGCCCGACCGAGAAGTGAACTCGCCCTTCCAGGTAGCTCTCAGTTTATATACTGGGAATGACATGCTGTGGTATGGAATACCCCTTTGGCTAGTTCGGGTCAGATGTCCTGTCTCTGCTTCCTCGTGGCTTCCCCTCCTCCCTGGCAGAGCATGAGACTCAGAAAGTCCTTGGTCAGGATAAACATTTGAGCAGTAAGTAAAAACATCAGTGTTATCAGCACTGTTCCCAGGCCGAAAGTCAAAACCACAGCACTGCACCAGCTACTAAGAAGGAGAAAAAATGACTGCTACTGCTGAACACAGGACAGTATCCACCCCTTATTCCATACCATCCACGTCATGCTCAGATCCCACATTTTCAATATACCATCACTCTTATCTCATATATATGCATATATATAGATACACACACACACACACACATCATTCCTTAGTGCATGGAACAATCCCTATAAAGCTGCTGAGTCCATCTGGTCCATGATGTTGGGCTCCATCTCTTGTAAACAGTCATTCAGAGCAGGAGAGGCTGTGTGCAGTGTTGGATATTGGTTGCTGATGCTGATTGTTCCTTTACCACAGAACTTGTCTGGTTCTATCAAAGTTCATTTTTTGTTGGGATGTTGGCCAGTCAATAGTGATCTGGAGACATTAGTTCCTGGGTTATAAAAGTATTACATAGCAGGCAACAGCATGCAATTGAGCTCATTGGCTGTTTACCCCTAAAATCAAATCCCCTTGAGGTATACATCAGAGTTCCCCATCTTCCTGCATTACCCACCAAGTATATCTGGGTCCCTGAGCAAAAGCAATTCCATGAGTGGGTATGTTTTTACCTGAAGCAGGAATAACCCAGACTGTCTTCCCCAGCAAATTCTTTATGTGCACCACAGGAACTTTGTCCCCCTTTACAGTATGTAAAAGTTCTGACTGGGCTGGACCAGCCCTGTTGGCAGATCCTCTGGTGTTGACCAACCAGGTGGCCTTTGGTAAGTGTGTATCCCAATGCTTGAAAGTTCCCCCACCCATTGCTCTCAGTGTAGTTTTTAACAGCCCACTGTACCGTTCGATTTTCCCAGAGGCTGGTGCATGGTAGGGGATGTGATATACCCACTCAATACAATGATTTTTGGCCCAAGTGCCTATAAGGTTATTCTGGAAATGAGTCCCATTGTCTGACTCAGTTCTCTCTGGAGTGCCGTGTCACCACAAAATCTTTCTCAAGGCCCAGGATAGTGTTCCGGGCAGTGGAGTGGGGCACAGTGTACGTTTCCAGCCACCTGGTGGTTGCTTCCACCATGGTAAGTACATGGCGCTTGCCTTGGCGGGTTGGTGGCAGTGTGATATAATCAATCTGCCAGGCCTCCCCATATTTATACTTCAACCATCGTCCTCCATACCAAAGAGGCTTTAACC